CACACCTTCCCGTGCCATGTGTTTATTCCCCATAGCACCCCTACACAGGTATTGGGAGCGTGCATGAGAGAGAGTCGATTCGACTCTGCTCTTTAATTCCCTATTATCGATAATGATACGATTACTCTCGATTTAACATTATGAATTATGTGTGTTATGGATTGTGTGTGGTGATAGTGTGCTTATGATAGGTCCCCAGGATTCAGATCTCATACGCAGAACAATATTAAGCAGAATTTCAGGAAGAATCACACACAAACCTTCTGCTTTAATCAATTTTATTTTCTAGCTAACTTTAATTTTTAGATAATATGAAAACTCAATCTCTGGATTTTGGAATTTCAACACAGCGTTAACATGATACCATCATGATTGCGTTGTTTCACCTCGATAGCGGCACCTGTGGTTAATTCCTGACGCGTAACGCAATCAATCGATTGTTGAGAGAGAGATTAAACATGCATAACTATTCTATCAAACCTTAACTCTATTATATGCAAATTCGTATACTTGAATTATTACACAACACGGCACTCGGTCTTTGATTCGTATCCAATCCTTAACACATTCTGATATGCGAAATTATTATGCTTGAAATCGTCAGCACAGTACCATGGCGATGTTCGTTCATTGATTCATCAACGATTATGCAATTAAAGCGTTCGACTGAAATACTTCTGATTGCCTCATCAACGTAACTCAATGGGTGGCGATGTTTTTCGTTATCAGCTAATAGTTGACGCAGCTATCATGAGTCTTGTATGTTTAATGGGAGTGTTGTTGATTTCTTGCGTTGAGCAAACACCTAGGTTGATTTCCTTGTCAAAAAAAATGTTTGTTCGTTGTGTAGCGGTGGAGGAGTGAGGAGGGGGGGAGAGTGTGGGGGGGGGCATACGAACGGCTGCCAGTTTCTGTCCACCGCTGGCTGGATGAGTCAGCACGACGCTCGCCGTCGTCGCGCCGATGAGTGTTGAGTGCGGGGCCGCTGCCCTTTCAGCGCTGGTGACGCGAAGTTGCGCGCTGTGGCACGCTGGTGGCACGCTGTTGGCACGCGCTGGTGCTGATGCTGGTGCTGATGGCACGCTGGTGGCGCGCGCTTCCTCTCCTTGAAGATGCGCGAACGCACCCGTGCTGGTTCGCTGACAGCAGTTTCCTCCACTGCTGGCTGAGCTGCTGCACGCTCTTGCTTGGCGTTGCTGGCCGCGCTCTTTCTCCTTGAAGATGCGCGAACGCGCCCGTGCTGGTTCGCTGACAGCAGTTTCTCTCCACTGCTGGCTGAGCTGCGCCGGTGCGCGCTCTTTCCGCTGCTGTAGTATCTGACGCTGCGCTCGCGGGCGACAGGTCAAGTTTTTCTTCTGCTGGGTGAGCCGAGTCGCACGTGCTCTCTTTGTTGAGGTTGTTGGCGGCTCTCTGACAGCAGGTTTCCTCCACTGCTGTATGACTCAAGTCGCACGCGTTTGTTCGCTGGTTTGCTGAAGTTGTTGGCGGCTGCTCGTGCTTTTCCGCTGCTGGTTGAGCCACGTTGCACGTGCTTTCTCTGTGGAGATGCTCGAGCGCTCTCAGCGCTGATTCGCTGGTACGTTGTTGGCGGCTGGCCAAGCTTGTTCTTCTGTTGAGTGAGTTGATTCGCACGTGCTCTCTCTGTTGAAGTGCGCGAACGCGCCCGTGCTGGTTCGCTGACAGCAGGTTTCCTCCACTGCTGTATGACTCACTTTTGTTGATACATCGCGACTCAGCGATCCTCGCTACTCAGCGAGGCTCGGAGCCAGCCGCTCCATGCGACTGCTCGTCCTGTGGACGTCTTGACTCGCTGATCTGTCTTGACTGACTTAACTGAACTTTTTGAAAATGCGGCTGACCGTTATATTCAAAGACATTCTTCTCTCTGTGCAGTAAGGGGGGGGGCGTGGTCTGTGTGTGAGTTCGTTTGTGTGTTTGTGTCCTGGTTCTGTTCGGGTCTTCCTCAAGCCATAAACCATCAAGGAAACAGACGCTTCGATTCATCTCGAAGGCGTCTGTCTGTCGACGCTGTTCGTCCAGAGAGAGGGGCGGGTTCCCCCCCCCCCATTTTCGTACACGTTTCCGACGCACAAAGAAATGGTTAAGATTTTTAAAGTTTAACATTTCACATCACAGTTGGTATTGTACCGTACCCATATATGATTCTGCTTGTGGTTCGGGGTATTTGATTTTGTTTCCAAGTGAAGATGCTCTTCCGAGCGTATGCATTTTATCACGTGCTGCGGGGAGAGACAAAGGTGGCCGGGATCTTCCCATCTCTCTATACTTTGTGTTAAAGTCGCTCAAATATCACTTCGACTCCACATTCAACCAGTCTGATCCACCCCGTTACCTTGGCTCCTACTCAGTTTATTAATTTTCGTCATTCTGTGTGTCTTATCACATATAAATGTATGGCGGTTTATTTAACTTAAAGCTTGCTCGCTCTTTTGCTGCCCATGTGCAGGGTGGGGTGGGGCCACTATTAAGTCCCGTGTGTGGCAGATGGTTCCTGCGATAACGATCTGTTTGCCCTGGCGTGAAATTCCTCTCTCGCGCTCTGCGGGAGAGACAAAGGTGGTCGGGAGTACCTATCTCTTTTTACTTTCGATTTTATTTCTCAAATACCATTTGGTCCCATGTTCGCCAAGAGTTTAAGAGGTCCGTTTCTTGATTGTTGGAATCCATATCCCTTGGTTCTGTAAGGTTCTATAATGGAATGTCGTGTAAGGTGAACACGTTATTATTAATGTTATATTGCAATTTTCTTTAAAACTTTGTTTGCCTGGTTGCCGTGTGTGGGGTGGGATGTGTTTTCTCATTAATCCGTCTGGCTAGCTCCAGATGGCCCCTTGTGATAAGGTGTGGTTCCTGCTTCTCCGCGCCTCGAGAGAGACAAAGGTGGTCGGGGTTGCTTGGGATATTGCTTAAACTCTTTCGCAAGTTTGCCCGTTGTCTCATTACTTTTCGAAAACCTTTGATGTGACTCTGTATTTCGTCTCCAAGTTTGTGATTTAACAGTAAGAGTATTAAAAGGTGAAAATCATTTGATGTCGAATTAATAATTGGATAAGGATTCACTGATGTGTCTGGTGGCCTGTTCTTAATTGGAGTGAGCATTAGGACCGCTAATTTTATCTTATTCTTGTTGTTGCCTTTTAATTTTTTTTACCCGTTGTTTTACTGGCAAATAAGGAAAAAAAATGTATACGATTTACCCTGTTGGCGTCTCCGTGTCTACTCTCTTGGTGTTCTGACCTCGGAGGGACCTTTCCTAAGGGGCCCATCAAACTCTTGTTCATCTGGAGATTTTCGCCGATAGCTGTTACATCCTCGCCTTGAGAGTTTTATTATTTATTTATTTATGGCCTGCTTACGATCTCCATCTGTGGTTGCGTGTTTTTGGGTTTGTGTGTTTTTATGCATTATTTCCTTTATTATTAAAATATATCACCAGATATTACTGTTAATATCAATTTTGGAAAAGGCTCATATACAACACATTCTCCTGCACATTCTCCTGCACATTCTCCTGCACGTTCTACAGAACATTCTACTGCACATTCTCCTGCACGTTCTACATCACATTCTGCTGCACATTCTCCTGCACGTTCTACATCACATTCTGCTGCACATTCTCCTGCACGTTCTACAACACATTCTCCTGCACATTCTCCTGCACGTTCCACATCACATTCTCCTGCACATTCTCCTGCACGTTCTGCTGCACATTCTCCTGCACATTCTCCTGCACATTCTCCTTCACATTCTCCTGCACATTCTCCTGCATGTTCTACATCACATTCTCCTGCACATTCTCCTGCACGTTCTACATGAAGAAGAAAAAGGGTTTTATTCGCCATGAAAGTTCACACCGACACGGAATTTACTTTTGCAGGATGGTGCATACATTCAACGTAGAGGAATCTAAAATCTTAAATAAGTTTTAAACAAGTCTTACTATAATAAGGGTTAAAAGTCTAACTAACACCAAGGGGCTGAAGTATATAAAATTGAATAAATATCGAATATAAAATAGCTTTAAGATATAATTTAAAAATAAAAATAACAAATAGGTTAACATAGTTAATATCGGCAAGGTGTCATTATGTAGATAAAATGTTCAAGTCAGTGTAAGCCCTTGGCCTTGTTTAAGATGCCAGTAGCGATGGGAAGAAACTGTTTTGTGGCGTAAGGCTTTGGTCTTGATGGACCGCAGCCTTCTGCCGGAGGGGAGTAGCTGGAACAGAGAGTGTCCAGGGTGGGAGGAATCGGCCACAATCTTCCTCGCTCGCCTCATGGTCCTCGAGGTGTGTAGGTCCTCGAGGGTTGGTAGATTGCAGGCAATTACCTTCTCAGCAGTGTGGATGATACGCTGCAGTCTCCTCTTGTCCTTGGCAGTGGCAGCAGCGTACCAGACGGTTATGGAGGAGGTGAGGATGGATTCAATGATTGCTGTATAGAATTGCACCATCATTGTCTTTGGCAGGTTGAATTTCTTCAGCTCCCGTAGAAAGTACATCCTCTGCTGCACGATCTCCTGCACATTCTCCTGCACGTTCTACATCACATTCTGCTGCACGTTCTGCTGCACATTCTCCTGCACGTTCTACATCACATTCTGCTGCACATTCTACTGCACATTCTGCTGCACATTCTCCTGCACGTTCTCCTGCACATTCTCCTGCACATTCTCCTGCACGTTATATATCACATTCTGCTGCACATTCTCCTGCACACTATACATCACATTCTGCTGCACATTCTGCTGCACGTTCTACATCACATTCTGCTGCACATTCTCCTGCACATTCTACATCACATTCTGCTGCACATTCTACTGCACATTCTGCTGCACATTCTCCTGCACGTTCTCCTGCACAATCTCCTGCACATTCTCCTGCACGTTCCACATCACATTCTGCTGCACATTCTCCTGCACGTTCTGCTGCACATTCTCCTGCACATTCTCCTTCACATTCTCCTGCACATTCTCCTGCATGTTCTACATCACATTCTCCTGCACATTCTCCTGCACGTTCTACATCACATTCTCCTGCACATTCTCCTGCACGTTCTACATCACATTCTGCTGCACATTCTCCTGCACGTTCTACAACACATTCTCCTGCACATTCTCCTGCACGTTCTACATCACATTCTCCTGCACATTCTCCTGCACATTCTCCTGCACGTTCTACAGCACATTCTGCTGCACATTCTCCTGCACATTCTCCTTCACATTCTCCTGCACATTCTCCTGCATGTTCTACATCACATTCTCCTGCACATTCTCCTGCACGTTCTACATCACATTCTCCTGCACATTCTCCTGCACGTTCTACATCACATTCTGCTGCACATTCTCCTGCACGTTCTACAACACATTCTCCTGCACATTCTCCTGCACGTTCTACATCACATTATCCTGCACATTCTCCTGCACATTCTCCTGCACGTTCTACAGCACATTCTACTGCACATTCTCCTGCACATTCTACATCACATTCTGCTGCACATTCTCCTGCACATTCACCTGCACATTCTCCTGCACGTTCTACACCACATTCTACTGCACTTTATGCTGCACTTTCTACTGCACGTTCTACATACCATTCTGCTGCACATTCTGCTGCACATTCTACTGCACTTTCTACATCACATTCTGCTGCACATTCTTCTGCACGTTCTACTGCACATTATACATCACATTCTGCTGCACATTCTACTGCACATTCTACATCACATTCTGCTGCACATTGTGCTTCACATTCTACTGCACATTCTACATAACATTCTCCTGCACGTTCTACATCACATTCTGCTGCACATCCTGCTGCACTTTCTACTGCATAGCCGCGTGGCTGCCGGCTGAGCTGGGCGCCTGAGTGAGGGAGGGCTGGGCCGCTGTGTGGAATGTTCACCACTGAAATCAAAAAGCCCTCGGTGGAGATCGGCACAATCGACAGTTCAAGGACCGCATTCCCAGCCGTGTCTGGGCTCTGGCTCCTGCCTCGAACGCGACTCAGCCTTGGTTTGGCTCAGACTCCCAGGGGAGTGCATCTGCCGGTCATCTCAGTCAACCCACGACACCCCCTGCCAGCAGCGGGCCTTCGACACTTCGCGTGGCCTCGGAGTGCACCTAGCCTGGCACAAGCGCCCTGGTGACGTCACCGCCACATAGTTCTTGTTGTTGTTGCGAAGCCTCCTCGACCACGCCACTGAAGTCTCCGGAAATTTTGTCGCTTCCACAGTTGCGTCGTTCGGAGTGGCGGAAATCGAGCGCGGCTATGGAGCGCAATTTGTCGCACGCGAATTGCAAATCGTGCAGTGGACTTTGGGCGCACGACAAAAAACCATCACATTCAGTCCGCCCCTTCGACTCGTACACGCGCTCTGCTGGGCATCTAGAGGTATTGCAGGGATTCGCCAATTTGCGTTATTATCATCGAGCACAATAATTATTTAGAAGTCATAACGCGCGCGGTTTTCGTTCACTCTGAGACAGAGAGCGAGAGAATGATTCACAAACACTCGTTCAGAGGAGCCGCAGGCAAGCGGGGAGTTCAGCCCGCACTGGCGCGCCAACAATTTCCCAAGCTATGTGACCCGATATTTGGAATTCTAGCTTTAAAGCTTTCGTGACTGCAAGGATCCTTACTCTTTGGTTCTATTCGCTAAAGTCACGTAGGTAAAAAATAAAACAACAAAAAATCACGACGTTTCGGCCACAACACAAGTGGCCTTCATCAGGTGAAGGGACCAACCTGTCCAACGCTGTCCTCTAGACAGTCCGGTCCCTTCACCTGATGAAGGCCACTTGTGTTGTGGCCGAAACGTCGTGATTTTTTGTTGTTTTATTTTTTACCTACGTGACTTTACCGAATAGAACCAAAGTGTATATATTTGGAATGTTTGTCGCATCTCCATCAACGAGTGTGGTGTATCCATACAAACATCAATGTCTAGCACCTCGTGTGTGTGATGGATTCATCGTACATTCTTTTGTTGAACAGCTGATGCGGGATTCTCAACGACTGCATTGTTGATGGAAAAAAAGCAAAAGCTTAATTAACTCTTTGCGGCTATCAGGGTGTGCTCAGATGTTCAAACACCAAGCAGATGTCGATTACAGGGGGTCAAGTCTGCATTAACCACACATCACGCCTGTGGTAAAACATGCAAATAAGCGTGCTTTGAAAATAATAGTGTACGCATTTTGATTTAAAGTTTTCGTGCCTGCAGTCATTCATATTTTTAGCTCTTTCGGTAAAGTCACGTTGAAGGGAAACAATAAAATAATAAAATATATATAGAACAATAAAAAATTCTCACGACGTTTCGACCATAACACAAACGGTCGTCATCAGGTGTGCCGGTTTGTGTTATGGTCGAAACGTCGTGAGAATTTTTTTATTGTTTTATATATATTTTATTATTTTATTGTTTCCCTTCAACGTGACTTTACCGAAAGAGCTAAGCATATAGTGTACGCATTGTCTCTGAAAACGATTGGCTTACACCAGAGACGGCCTCCTTTGTGCCTTTGTCTCACCACCGGTGTCAGGCCAGAGAACAACGCCAACAGGCGAACAGCCCAAGGACAACGCAAATATCAAAGTATCAGTAGCTCGAGTCGAGCAGTTCGCATAGCTATGGCACCCTTTTTGCCGGTATCAAGACGATGACAATAACAACAGCATTGACCCTCTGCGGCAATACCACTGCAGGAAGGAGAGGTGAAGGTGTTCAAACACCAAATAGACACAAGATTTTAAGGCATCGTGAAGTCTGCGTTAACCACACATCGTGTGTGGAACCCAGGCAGTGGCGAGCACAGCTATTGTTTGTGATGTTGTTGTTATTATTATGGTGGCTTTAGCGGAATACCGTGTCCCTCTGACTCTTCCGTGCGTGTATGGAGGGAGACAGAGAGTTTCACACAGAGCTCCTGTCCTTACCTCGACAACTTTATTTTTCTCACCGTTTCTTGGAGATTTATTTTCATCAACAGCAAGTGTCTTGCTGTATACACATCTGTGATCAGTTGGTTTATTTAGATTTTTTTTTCTACTGGTAGGAACCTCCTGGTTACACCAGCCCACAGGGGATTATTGTGTCCGTCAGTCCGTCGTGCATCCAAAAATGGGAGGGGTGGGGATGGGTGGGAAGGGGAGGGTGGGGGAGGGGAGGGGCTGGGTGGGGAGGGGAGGGTGGGGAGGGGCTGGGTGGGGAGGGAGGGGCGGGGTGGGGAGGGGCGGGGTGGGGAGGGAGGGGCTGGGTGGGGAGGGGAGGGTGGAGTGGGGCTGGGTGGGAGGGGTGGGGCTGGATGGGGAGGGGCTGGTCACCCCGTGGTGCCCTTATAAAACTCAACGTTTCACCTACTCACGCCGGCTTGTGCCCGCCCTCGCAGTCGGGCATATTTGCGGAATCCACCACGTGGTGCTGCCGTTGACCCTGGCCATTGAACGAGCAACCCAACGTCCCTACTACCAGCTGCTCCCTCCCTCCACAGGAGAATGTGTTTTATTTATTTGTTCTTTTCTGTTGCTCTCATTGTTCAGGGCGCGGCTGCGCTCTCTGCAGTGCATTGGTGTCTTTGTTCTCCACAATCCCCCACTTTAATTTGAGAGTTGATTTCACAATTACTCTCTTCCTTGTTTTCATTTAGATTTTGAGTTCCTTTGTTCCTCAAAATATTTCTGAGTTTTGTGGGGTTTTTCGTCCCTTTGTCTGGTGTGGTTCCACGTGAACACACCGTGCTAGCACTGTACCGCACGCGTGTTAGCACTGTACCGCACGCGTGTTAGCACTCTACCACACGAGGCTGTTCACGTTATTATCTTTTTGTTGGTGTGCTGTTTTATACATTTTCTGTTTTCTTCTGTTCTTGTAAAATACCGAGGACTTTAAATAATTTACCCTCTCTCCAGAGGAGCTTTGAGTGAACAGCAGTATTAGTATTGAGAGAAGGTGGTCATAACACAGGATTCACCATCTTTATATAATTATTTGTATTTAATTTTGTAATTTTTTCCTGGCTTTAGAAAACAGAGAGGTTTGCTTTAATAGTTGTATGTGACATGTCTCACACACGAGTGAAAATTTCCACCCGACCCACAACAACGTACGTGAAAGCTACCGCGCCTCGCAAGGCCGGTCTCTGGGGCCTGCAAGGCGCCAGCAGCAGCAGCTGGAGCCTCCACGCAAGGCCGGTCTCTGGGGCCTGCAAGGCGCCAGCAGCAGCAGCAGCAGCTGGAGCCTCCACGCAAGGCCAGTCTCTGGGGCCTGCAAGGGGCCAGCAGCAGCAGCAGCTGGAGCCTCCACACGAGGCTGGGATCCGCTGCCCGGCTTCCACCGATGTCCCGCTCGAAGTCTACGTGGAAGCGCTGGGCGCCATCATGCCTGGAGGCTCGATAAAGTACGCCTCCAAGGTGAGCGGAAAGGTGGTTTTCTTCATGAAGTCTGAAAAGATGGCAAACGCCGCCGTGGAGAAGGGGCTGATGGTTAACGATTGGCACCTCACCTTGGAGCCACTCGTCGCCATCGGTACGCGTGATCGTATCCAACGTCCCCCCCTACATTCCCGATAAAGACATCCAAGATAACTTGGCTAAGTTAGGCACACTGACTTCCAACCAACAGCATGTGCCTTTGGGCCTCAAAAATCCTGCCTTGCGGCATGTCTTGTCTTTTAGAAGACAGGTCTACATGCTGATGCCCAATGGGCAGCTTGAGGAGGGCTCCTTTGTGGTCATGAATGGAGGAAGGGCCCATAAGCTGTTTTACTGCAGGGACGTACTCAAATGCAACCTATGCAAAGCAGAGGGGCATATTAAAAAACACCGTCCGAAGATGGCAAATGTCGAATCCAACAGAGAGGGAACTGTGGAAAAGGGTGATAAAGAAACACACCCAACAAGTGACTCAGGAGAGAGTTCCTCACCACAGAGGCCATGCAAGATGGCAGTAGCCCCGCTCCAACTTCAGCTACTGCCATGGAGACTGAGGCTCAGCCAGCCACCCAGCCGTCATTGAAGAGAACATGTATGGAGGATTTAGCTTCATTATCTCCAGAGTCAAGTGGGGATGAGGTCAGTCCCTTTAAAGATCTCCCAGAGTTGAAGTCAGACATCGCACCCACGCCTGGGGGAGATGCGGAGAGCACTGGTGGCAAGGACGGGGTCTTCACCATCCCAGATGCCCCTAGAGGTGGGACACGCACAGGGAAGAAGCCCCGTGCAGGAACCAAGATCAAGCGCAGGATACCAGCAGAAAATCTGGAGCCTGAAATAGAAGCGGAGGAAAACACAATCTATGAAGTGGCAAAGGAAACAAGTGAAGAAGGTCGCACTTCAGACCTCGACGACGCACCCAGTGAGGCGGCCGAAGGCTCTCAGGAAACGCGAGCAGCCAAGAGCACGGAGGAGCCCAATTGGACCCAACTGACCAAACTGCGGGGGGTGACCAAGATGAGGACAATGACTGGCCGTCAATGGAGGGGCAAGCAGCATCACCCAATGAAGCACCGACAGAGGATACCACGACGACTGAAAATCCTCAAAGCCTCGGGGCTGAAGAGGGAAGCCAAGAAGAGGAGGTGGTAGAAACCCTCAGCACAGACTGAAATGGCACCAATATTCTCACAGTCGTAGCTATGGAACTTTTTAGATGAAGTGCATGGCTCAGAAGAAAGAGTGACTGCAGCTCTGTCAAGGTGGCGAAATGTGGAGACAATTATAGCCTCCCTACTCTGTGTTGAGCAGGACTTCAAGAGACAGGGAAGTCGTTATCGGCAAAGGAAAGGAAAAGGATCAGGTACTTCCTGAGCCAAATAACTACGTGGAAAGAAAACACACCTGGCAACAACTCCACTGACACATAATGC